GGCAGCGCACGCCGCTGCACCACGTGGCACACAGGCAACTGCCGGAACATTTTGTTGGATAGGGGAAGGGGAAGTCGGGATCGAAAAGTTGTCAAGATGGGGGCGACAAGGTCGGGATAAAGGAGGGGAGAAGCCGGGATGTAAGTCGGGATGGGCAAAGGAGGTAACGAAGTCGGGACGGGGAGGGATGCGTCCGGAGGTCGGGATAGGGAGGGGAGGAAATCGGGATGGGGAGAGAGGGTCGGAGGGTCGGGATGGGGAGGGGGAAGTCGGGATGCAGGAGCGCAACCCAAAGCCCGACGACGTTGGGAAGTCGCGATCGAAAAGTTGGCGGGATAGAGGCGAGGAGGTCGGGATAGAGGAGGGGAGAAGCCGGGATGGAAATCGGGATGGCCAAAGGGGGCAACGAAGTTGGAATGTTCGGAGGTCGGGATAGGGAGGGGAGGAAGTCGGGATGGGGAGAGAGGGTCAGAGGGTCGGGATGGGGATGGGGAGAGAGGGTCGGAGGGTCGGGATGGGAAGGGGGAAGTCGGGATGCAGGGGGGAGTCTGGATTCGGGTCGGAAGACGGACGACGCTGGGATAGGGGAAGGGGAAGTCGAAGTCGGGATGGAAAGAGAGGAGGAAATCAGGATGGGGAGAGGGGGTCGGAGAGTCGGGATGCGGGATGGATGCAAGAGAGGGTCGGAGGGTCGGGATGGGGAGGAGGGGTCGGAGAGTCGGAATGGGGAGGGGGAAGTCGGGATGCGGGATGGGTGCGACCTGAAGACCGACGACGTCGGGAGAGCGAAAGGGGAAGTCGGGATCGAGAAGTTTTCAGGATGGGGGCGACAAGGGCAAAGGGGGCAACGGAGTCAGGATGGGGAGGGGGAGAGCGAAAGGGGAAGTCGGGATCGAGAAGTTTTCAGGATGGGGGCGACAAGGGCAAAGGGGGCAACGGAGTCGGGATGGGGAGGGACAGGTCCGGAGGTCGGGATGGGGAGAGAGGATCGAAGGGTCGAAATGGGGAGGGGGAAGTGGGGATGCGGGATGGGCGCAACCCGAAGACCGACGACGTCGGGATAGCGGAAGGGGAAGTCGGGATTGAGAAGTTGTCGGGATGGCGGCGACAAGGGCAAAGGGGGCAACGGAATCGGGATGGGGAGGGACAGGTCCGGACGTTGGGATAGCGAGGGGAGGAGGTCGGGATGGGGAGAGAGGATCGGAGGGTCAGGATGGGGAGGAGGAAGTCGGGATGCGGGATGGGCGCGACGAGGTCGCGGAGGGGGGAAGTCCGGATTGATTGATTGATTGGTTGGTACGAGGGGGGGTTGTGGGTAAGGAGGGGAAGAAGTCAGAATGGGGAGAGAGGGTCGGAGGGTCGGGATGGGGAAGAGGAAGTCGGGATGCCGGATGAGGGGGACGAGGTCAGGGAGGGGGGAAGTCCAGATTGGTTGATTGATTGATTAGTAAGAGGGAGGGGTTTGTGGGTAAAGGGGGAAGCGTTGAAAGCTTGATTAGGGTTTTTTTTTTTTTTTCCCGAATCAAAATCAGCTTGATTTTTTTTTTTTTTTTTTTTTTTTTCTTGTCTTTTTTTTTTGACTTGGTCTTTTTTCCTTTTTTCGTTTTTTTGTTTTTTCATACGGGAAGGCAAAAGTCCGGTTTCGATTCATTGATTCGTTGGTACGAGGGGGGGGGATTACACACGCACACCAATCACATACACACACACACACACACACACACACACACACACACGCGCGCGCGTGCACGACGTTTGAAATGAGCTCTTATTGTTTTCTTTTTTTTTTACTCCGTCGATAAATGCACAGAATTTGTTTATATTCGGGGGAAGGTAATTGCCTCCTTGATTGATTGGAGGTGGGACGACGAGGGGGGAAGGGGAGAAGGGAAGCAGAGGTCGGGATATGGGAAGGAAGAGGAGGATAGGAGGGGAGATCGGGATAGGAATGGGAAAAAAGAACAGGAGACAAGGGAGGGGTCGTGATGGAAAAGGTCGTAGGACGGTACAGGTCGGGGCGACGAGGGGGGAAGGGGAGGACGGACGGAGAGGTCAGGATATGGGAAGGAAGAGGAGGACAGGAGGGGAGATCGGGATACGAAAGATCAGGGGAATGGTACAGGTCGGGACAACAATGTCGGAATAGGGGAAGGAAGGGGGAACAGAGGGGGAAGAGTGCCGGGGAAAGAAGGACGATGTCCGGATAGGGGAGGTCGGGGAAGAGATCGAGATGGGAGAGAGAGGGAGAGAGAGAGAGAGAGAGAGAGAGAGAGAGAGAGAGAGAGAGAGAGAGAGAGAGAGAGAGAGAGATTTGTGTGTGTGTGTGTGTGTGTGTGTGTGTGTGTGTGTGTGAGAGAGAGAGAGAGAGAGAGAGAAAGAGAAAGAGCCAATTGGTAGAACTGACACAACAGGTACCACGAAAAAACATCTTTCGTTTTTGCCATCCATATCAAATACTGAATTTCTACATCCTCGATCCTCACAATCTCTGCTCTTTTCGCCGCGAGCGAAGCCGCGGCGGGTCCACTTGTTATATTTATGTCGCCGAAGGGGACGCGTGTACAGGTTCCTACAGAGATCAAGAGAGTCGTCACTATGTCTGACGACCTTTACAGTGAGCCCACAGGGGTGGTAAAAAGGGAGATGCAGTATGCTATAGACATAGTCCCAAGGAGTAAGGCCCTAAAAGTTAGAATCTTACTGATTGTCTCCTTTGAAGAGGTTCCTACAGAGATCAAAAGAGTCATCACTATGTTTGAGGCTAGCTTATTGGGCCGAACGGTCGGGACTCCCCCGGTTGTCGGAGTTGTCCGGTCGGACAACTACTTCCTCCCAGGACAACTCGTCCTCCCCCAAAGAAAAATAGGGGTTGGGGGGGGGGGRGGGGGGGAATTGGCAGTTTTGGGGCCAGGACGTGTTCTGGAGTGTCGGCCCAGGCCCCAGATACATTTTTTTGAGGCCGGTAGGGCCTCAAAACTCGTAAAAAAAAATCTGTTGGGCCGCCAGATCTTGGAGATCAACGGCCCAGATTGGGCCCAGATCTTGAAGCAGATGAAGCTGTTGCTGCACCTGCTGCAGATGCTGCACCTGCTGCAGATGCTGCACCTGCTGCAGATGCTGCAGATGCAGCTGCTACTGCACCTGCTGCATCTGCTGCAACAGATTGTGGAGATGTTGCACATGCAGCAAGTACTGCACCTGCTGCACCCACTGCAGCAAGTGCTGCATGTGCAGCACCTGCTGCACCAGTGGACCCTCTACGCACCCAACCCCAACCCCAACCCCAACCCCCCTCCCCCCCCCATTTCCCCTTTTTTTTTTGGGTCCAAATGAGCTCAATTTTTTCTTACGGGATCTACTCATGGAGCGCGGAAACCCCCATTTTTTATTCTTTTTTTTCATTTTTAAATTTGTGAAAAATGAGTTGTCCAGGATCCCGGACGAGTCCCCTAGCCGACGTCCGACGGTGACGTCTCAATCAGACCACTGGTGACCTAGGTTTGAGGACCTTTACTGTGCGCCCACAGGGGTGGTAAAAGGAGATGCAGCATGCTATAAACATGGTCCCAACGAGTAAGGCCCTAGAAGGTAGAATTTACTAATTGTCTCCTTCAGACCTCGATGAGCTTCACAAACAACTGAAGAAGCTTATAGTTGAGGGTTGGATTAGATCTATGGATCACCTGTTCTATTTGTGCCCAAGAAGGGAGGTGAGCTGCAGATGTGCATTGATTGAAGGGGCCTCAATGCCATCATGGTTGAAAATGTTGCACCCTTTTTCGCACATTGTCGGCCTCAATGACAAGCTACAAGAAGTACTTCAGTAAGATAGATCTAAAATCCAGCTATAGAGGTGAGACCCAAGGATCAACATAAGACTGCATTTCAAATCAAACATGGACTGTGTGAGTTTGGGTTTATGCCTTTCCGGCTCTATAGTGCATCTGCAACATTCCAGCGTGTTACGACAAGAGGATTTCATTATTACTTATATAAGTTTATAGTTGTCTATTTGGATGGCATACTTGCCTACAGTACGTCTTAAGCCATCAATACGTTTCCTACCCGCTTTTCTCTAACACAATTGTGCACACACCGTGGCGTTCGGGGCACGGCCTACCATGGTGTTCGGGGCACGACCTACCGTGGCATTAGGGGCACGGCCTACCGTGGCTTTCGGGGCACGGCCTACCGGAGCTAAATAGAGGGGCACTGTAGCGGACCCACCAAGTGTGGTGCTCCGCTAGTGACAGAGATGGAGATGGAGGAAGAAGGGGGGAGCAAGATGGCACAACGCAGCTCCCCACGCAAGACTCTAACGCACGTACTCCAAAATGTGCAAGTAAGGAATGGAATGAAAACAGACAATGGCTGGGGTATACCCCAGCGGACTGACGGGACTGGACTGAGGATGAGGAAACTAACAACTAATCAGATTTAAGGTTGCCGTAGAGAAAATCGAATTTTCCAGAATAAATAGAAAAATAAAGTAAATAAATCAGAAAATGAGAAAAGAAGGTGGGAAAGAAGATATTTCGAATTTTTTGAAAAAAAGAGAAAAGATAAATCAAAAGAGAGGTGGAAAGAAGAAAAACAGAGAAATTTTCGAAGTAGGGGGGAAAGGGGGATGAAAAGTG